AGAATCTTCTAACTAGCAGATGAAGTATGCATAGTCTTCTGAACAGCTGAAGGAAACTTCTTTAACAGAGACTACATTCTAGGCCATATATTGAGTCTTAACAAATACAAAGGACTCAAACTAATTTCTTGATCTCCTCAAATAATAAAGGAACACAACTAGGAATCAATAGCAAGAGAAAACACAGAAACTACATAAATACATGAAGACTGGATAATGTGTTCTTGAATGACCAATGAGTCTTTAAAGAAATCAGAGAAGAAACTTAAAAGTTTCTGGAGTCAAATGAAAAGGAGAGCACGACTGACTGGACCCTTTTGGAGGAAATCTAGGAAGTCCTGAAAGGGAAGTTTAGAGCTATGAATGCTCACACTAAAACAAGAGAGCAATCTTTTTTTTTTTTCTCAAGAGAGCAATCTTAAATAAATAACCTAATGATGCACCTCTAAGTGTAAAAAAAAAAAAAATCCAAATCCCAAGAGATAATAAAGATCAGTGCTGAAATTAAGAAAATGGAAAATAAAAATAAAAAGATAATATATAATAAAAAGATAATATAGAGAATCACTAAAAGAGTTAGTTTTTTTTTTTTGCAAAATAAAAAATATTGGTAACTTCTGACAAATCTAACCACATGAAAGATAGAAGACTTAATTAAAAAGATAAACAAAACCTAGAATGTTACAATAGCTTCTAATCATTAAGAAATATTTTGGTAATTTGTATTTCAAGTAACTGGAAAAGGTTGAAGAAACAGTTACATTCCTAGGCCTCTATACTCTACTAAAATTAGATCAAGATGCTGTTAACGACTTAAACCAACAATAAGCAATAGCATTGAGAATAAGGATGGAGGCACAGCTCAGCTGGTAGAACGTTTGGCTGGTATTTATGATGCTCAAAGTTTGATTCCCGCCTGACATTGCATCGAACTGAGTATGCCGATGTGTGGCTATAACCCTCGCACTCCTTACAGAGACAAGAGGACCAGAAGTTTCAGACTGTCCTCTGCTACACAGTAAGTTCCGGGCCAGCCCAGGACATCTGAGACAGTGGAAGCTTGTGTACATGTGTCTGCGTCATATTATTTCAATTTAGTGTTTTTTTTTTTTTAATTTAAAGTATTCTAACAAAGAAAAGCCTTGCCAAACAGATTCAGTGCCAGATTCTACCAACCACTTGAGGATAGAGTAACACCAATATTTCTCAAACTGTTCCATCAGGTAGAAAGGAAAAGAATAGTACAAAGCTCATTCTATGAAGCTAGCATTAGAAACTAGACAGCAGCACAGCAATGAGAAAAAACTATGCTTTTATTTCTATTTTGAATGCAGAGATAAAACTTCTCAACAAAATGCTGAGTAACTGAATTTAAAAACATGTTACAGAAATTTAATTTATTCCAGTGAACCAAGAAAATGTCCAAAATCTGAAAATAGGTTATTTTTTTTAAATAGAATACAAAATATAGCATACTTAATTCCTTCTTTCATTTCTTTTCTCTTCCCTTATCTATCTATCTATCTATCTATCTATCTATCTATCTATCTATCTATTTATTTATTTCCTCTGAAACTAACAAGATACATGTTTAGGATTTCCATTTCCATGATAAAGTAATATGACTGAAAGCAGCTTTCCACCAGAAAGAATTTCTTCCTTTCACTGCCTGGTAATAGTTTATCACTGAGGGAAGTCAGGACAGAAACTCAAGCAGGGCAGGAACCTGGAGGCAGGGACTGAAAGAAAAGCCATGGAGGAGTGCTTCAATGGTTTGCTTCCTATGGCTTACAAGCCTGCTTTCTCAAACAGCCCAGGATCACCTGTAGGTGCTGTTATTACCCACAGGGACTTGGTCCTTCTACGTCCATCATGAGTTAAGAAAATTCCCTACAGAGATGCTTACAGGCCAATCCTATGAAGGTATTTTTTTTTTCCTATTAAGATTCCATCTTCCCACATGGCTTTAGTTTCTTTTAAGTTGATATAAAACTGACCAGCACAGCATATAATAAAACGTACAAGTTGTTTTTCACTGTCTGTGATTTTTACCACTGGGAGAAATTTGTGTGGATCATTTCAATGCTGTGGATTACACCCTCCCCCCCCCCAAATCTGCTCTCCAACCTGTTATCCAATATTCACTTCATGAAGCTAATTATAAATTACTCTGTGTGGGAGCAGCACTTTGTACACTGATGTCTGCAAGGATAACATGTCTGTAAGACCTAGACATCAAGACTAAAGAGAACTAAACGACTGAATCCTCTATCCCTCACATTTATTACCACTGCCAGTATGTTGCGTAGTTATTCGAAACATAACCGGTACATGAATTGTTCATTCACAGAAGTAAAGATTAGATGTCCATGTATTAAAACAGAGAGAATGTTCTTAGTCTTCTGGTTACTGTCTTATGTAACGGTGAGGTAGCATTTCTGTATTTTAGTAGATATTTTACTTCAGAATAAAATAAGTAACTACTCTATATACAATTTCCTAGTGAATACATTTATAAATCCTAGTGACCAATGCAAAAAGGATTCTTCTTTTCCACTGAAAGCCTCATGAAGTCTTTCAAAGGAGGTAAGCAGCATTTCTTACTGTGGTAATAACAAGACTTGGCTCTTTATCTGATATTCTGACCTACCCAGAGGCCTTCGAATGCTTCGTATTCAGCTGAGGAAGCTTACAGGTGGGAGGAAACCTATCCATCACTCTGCCTGACACACCACAGACCACTTTAACCCATCTTATCAATACCAAGAACTAATCACACTGACTCATCATGGTCAGGCTGGGAAACAGAATTTCCCAGAGAGAGCTAGAAAGCTGCTTCCTAGAGAAAATTAAAAGAAGGAAGGAAAAACATGTATTTTTTTGGTTCTTAGTGAATGAAATGTTTATCAATTTTTTTTTTAATCTTGCTTTTTGCTTCATAAGCAAAGGACATTTCCAAAGTCAGCTTTTGGAAATTGAAGTTGTCGCCTTGAAAATGTTAATTCCAAATGTAAGTTAATCATTGTCAGTGTTTGGGAGTTTAACAGGATTCAAGAAGAGAAAAGGATGGCAGTAGCAGAGAGCTGGCCATCTGACAGGACATCTGACTATCAGAGATTCCTTGGCTTCAGTTGTATCTGGACCTAGCTAACTCCTAGTTGACATGCTCCTGCACAGTGCTTACTTAAGATGTGTCTTCATTCTAGTGCTTATGGACACACACACACACTAAAAGTATCTGATGATGGGAAGATATGCTACAAAGTGATTGCTATTCGTCCCCCCACACCCAACACACACATACCACAGCTAGGTGCTGTTCTAGACTTGTGGTGGACTCCAGGGTGTGTCTGAAAGGTGTGCCTTTAGTTCCTATCTCTATCATAAAACTTTTCAATGTGGCTGACACTCTCAGCCTCTGATCCTAGTTCAAGGGTGCTTTTTCTGTGCTCAGGGGAGAGTTACTCTAAAGAACAGTTGCCTCTGTGTGCAGCGCGTGGGTGAACAAGTCTTGGCCTTAAAACTGAGTATCCCCAGATAAAGTTTCCTGGTCTTTCCTGAAGCAGGCCTTCCTCACCCACAGGTCTTGGCATCCCTCCCTTTCTGCCAGCCATCTGGCCAGGGACCAGCTTCCCAAATCTGCCTTGGCAACTACCTCTGCTCTAGCTGAGGAGGCTGTTTGCAACAACCCCTAACTGAGGAGATTATAGAGTCCTCTTGGAGATAATTTTATGTTCCCTGATAATTCCACTGGACTAGATAGATCTTACTGAAGGCAAAGACCCTAGAGGTTGCATACCAGGCAGCAGAGGCTGGCCACCAGGGACAGCCTCCTTTTGCTGGCAGGATTTGCCCAAGCACTCCATGTCTTCCCTTGGCTAGCATGACTCCACCAGGTCGCTCTTTCCAGCGTCTGCTCCAGCTTCTTGAGGCCGCACACTCATCATGCTTCAGCGCCACCAGTCTGCTATTAAAATTTATTTTTTCGGATTTGACTTTAATCTAATCCCTGACGCCAAAACAGTTCTCCTGGCTCCATCTCTTAGCTTCCTAAACCTTTTAATAGGCCTTTTATTGGGCCCACAGTCCAATTCAGGAAATAGGAAAACCCTGATATTGAAGGAATTTGAAAGTAAAACAGGAAAGACGAGGGTGAGACATTTATTCAGCTTTCTTCATAGTTTCCTTGCTGGTCCTTGTGGTTGGGGTAGGCCAGTGAGAATTCTGGCTGTGCCCAGAAGACCTTCTGAAGAGAGAGACCCTTCCTCAAGCCAGAGTGGTTTGAAAGGAACTAACCGGGATCTCATACTGTGTCCCTCACTTTCCTTCTTAAGAGGGACTGGTGAGAATCCACACCAAGACTCCAAGGTCCTGCATGTATCTTGAGCACCAAGTGACTGACTGGAAGGAGCAGGAAGACATTTAGCGTCACCTGTCACCACCAGTAACTGCTTGCTCATGTGAACAGGGAAAAGGAGACCGCTCCTGAGTTTTTCCCACTCCTCTTATCTCCTAGGAGACCTGAGGGCTTCCTGGGTCACTGAGCATAACCAGGGTCCCATAGGCTCCAGTCGGCCCCCATCCTCCCTGGATAGCCAGCCACCACGTCCCGCAGCGCCGAAGCACACTTTCTCCAGAGGTCCCCTCGTCCCGTGAAGTTGTGCACACTTGCTAACCACCCCACCGGCAGTAACCCGCGTCCACCTAGCTCAGGCAGAGCGGTCTCCCCAAGATAAGCTGCTTAGGCTTCGCCGTCCAGGCCAATCTCCCTGGACAGCTGCGGCGGCGACAGCAGCTGCGCCGCGGCCCCGAGCTCCGGGCGCTCCTCCTTCCTCCCTCCCGGGGCTCTCAGCTCACTCCCGCGGGCCACTCACACACTCCCAGCGGCCGCGACACGCCCGGGAGTGTGTGCGGGACCCGGGGTGCCGGCAGGCGCGGTGGCACCCCGCAGCCCTGCACCCCTCGGGTCGTGCTCCCAGCCCGGCCTCCCTCCTTCAGGATCACCCCAGTGACACCTGAGCAACTACCGGGGCAGTGGAAGCTGCAGGCCCGCGGGACCCACCGGCACACCCGGGAGAAAACAGAGCAGAGGGCGGGGCGGCGGCGCAGGCCCCCGCCTTAAAGATGACGGGCGCGAGCCCCAGCCAATGAGCTTGCGGAGATGCAGCGTGGGGCGGGCCCCCGGGGGCGGGCCCGGAGGAGGAGGTGGAGCCGGGAGCTGGAGGCGGGGGTGGTGAGGAGGAAGGGGAGGAGGCGGAGGCGGGCGCGGTGGTGGCGGCGGCCGGCGCGGCGGCGGAGGCGAGGTTGTGCCCCGGACTGTGTCCACCGAGCTCAGCGGCTGTCGCCCGTGCGTGGAGGAGCAGCGGGCGCCGCGAGGCAGAGGAGGCTCGCGGACGAGCGCGGCGGCGGGACGTCCACGGCTGCCGCGGCCCCGGCGGCGCCCCGGCGACGATCGGCGTGGGGGAAGCAGCGGCGGCCGCAGCGGCAGCCGCCTCTCCGCCACCGGGACGCCGAGGCGCGGCTGGCGGCGCTGACATCCGCGGCCCTGCCTCTCCTCCCTCGCCCCCGGCCCTCCCCATGTGATCGGTCTTAATCCCGGCAGTGTGCGCGCGTGGGGGTTCTCCATTGCGCGGCGCCCGGTGTCGGTGCCGGGGTGGGTTGCTCGCGTGCGCTTCTCCTCCCCATCCCCCGCCCCGTCCCCAAGAATAAAAGAAGAACCGGGAGGCGTGCTCAGAAAATAAATAAATAACCAGCACACACGCGCAGCCCGGAGCGAGGCGGCGGGGCTGGCGGCGGCGGCGGCGGAGGAGGAGTGAAGGCGGCGGCGGCGGAGGAGGGACGCGCGGAGCCGGCAGTAACTTTCGAGCCAGCCCAGAGCCCGGAGCTCCAGCCGAGCGGTTTGCAGCGCGGCGGCGGCGGCGGCGGCGGCTGCGCTGAGTGTCTGGCCCGCCGGTGCGGTCGGGGTGTGCAGTCGGACGGGACGAGCAGCGCGTCGCTGTGCCCCCCCTCCCGGCGGCTGGAGATGTCCGAGCCCAAGGCGATTGATCCCAAGTTGTCGACGACCGACAGGGTGGTGAAAGGTAAGCGCAGCGCCGCGGCGGCCCCCGGGGAGCAACCGAGTGCGGCAGGCGCCCAGCCGCCCCTCCCCCGCCCCGGTCGTCCCTCTCCGGCTTGCGCCGGGGACCTTCTAGGATCTCCTGCAAGAGGCGATCCCCCCCCTCCTCCGCCGCCGCGCCCTGCCCCCACACCGCCCACCCGGCCCTAACCCGGGCATTTTGTGTGTGTGTGTGGGGGGGGACGGGGGGGCAGCCCTTGGCAAATGGCTGAGCGGCTGGGAGGCGGTGGCGGGGGTGGCGGTGGCGGGAGGGGGGCGCTCGGGGAAGGGGGGTGACTGCTGGCAGGGTGTAGCTGCTGTGACAGAAATAGGAAGTGGGTGGCTGCTCGCGGGCTTGCATGAGATCGGGTTTATGGTTTGTTCTTTGTAGAGGGAGGGGAGGTGATTTATGGCTTTTTAAAAAATTAATAGGGCATTTTTTTTTTTTTTTTTTTTTTTTTTTTTTTAATGTGGCCGTGGCTTGCCGCGGACTGGCTCGCCCGGGCACGGTGCTCCAGGCGCTCCATTGCAGCAGTTCCCCCGGGCTGCCCCCTCCCCCTCCGCGGGAAGGGCCTGCACAGGACTCGCGAGAGAGCGGGAGAGCGTGGGGGGAGCCCGGCTCCGGCTGCCGCGCGCCGCGGGGGCGGGGGGCCGCGGGGCCGCGTGGGGGCAGCGCCGGGGCGGGGGACGACCTGAGCTCCGGTCGCTGCCCCGGGATTTCCCCGCAGGCCCCGAGCGCCGCGAGCCCGTGGCGGTCCTCCGTCGACCTCCCCTGCCACCCATGGCTGACTGCCGCCTACCTGTCATTGCTCTTAAAGGGTTCCCTGCTGGCGCACGCCTCTAGGGTGGGAAGCTCACTCCGCTCCCTTCCCCCAAGCTCCTGACACCCCCTTGGTAACGGGCTATTTGGTTCTCTTTATTGCCAGGGATGACATGAATGTGTCCAACTGGTAGGGACAGCTCTGAGTTGCTGGCTAGACGAAGCCCCGGGGGATGCGTGGGGTGAGGAAGGGGACAACGTGGTTGCCCTTTCTATCCTCCTGCGGAGGAGGGATCCCACCATCCTCGCTGTATTCCACCGTGGAATGGGGGAGGAACCGCAGATCCTCAAGGATTAAGTAGCGCCATTTATTCTTGGGGTCAGGGTACTGACCAAAGCTAAGGTGCAGAGGGATGGGGGTGGTGGTGGTGGTGGTGGTGATGGTGGTGGTGGTGGTGGTGTGTGTGTGTGTGTGTGTGTGAGAGAGAGAGAGAGAGAGAGAGAGAGAGAGAGAGAGAGAAAGAAATTTGGGCAGAGATGGTATCTTATGCAGCAGCAGAGCATTCAGCTAGAGTGCAAAGCAATCAAGTCATTTGCGCCAGAACACTTAGGTGAAAATAACCCAGCGCCCAAGACCAAGATACATAATATCTGGAGCTTTCGAAAGGATCGTTGCTCCTTTCGCATTTGCTCAGCTTTTAAAGTTGTGTGTGTGTGTGTGTGTGTTGTTATGTTCTCTTATGAAAGAATAAAAGAGAATAAAGTATCTTCTCTCCTTTTGCTGATATTGGAATTATTCCTACTTCAAAGTAGGTTTCATAGAGCCGTCAGAATAAAGAGGGAATGGCTCTGCAAAAAACAAAAAAAGATTGTTAGGAGAGCTTCAGATGCACAGCTCTCTTTCTGCAGGCATGCAGCCTTGTGTAAACACTCGATGCAAATCCACTCCAAAGACCTGTGCTGCACCGAGGGCCTTTGTTGACCTAAAAATTAAGACCTTTTGTGTAAAATACCAGAGAATGCCCAGTGTCTCTTTAATGTGTGAAACTTAGGTGTAGCGCCCATCCAAAGATAACTTGTTTTCTAAACAATTAAGGTAATAGTTACAGTTCAGGTGATAGTGTGTGTTCGGAATTAAAAAAAAAAAAAGAGTCCTGTGCACACCTAATAATACCACGTTTCCGGTTTTAAATCACAAACTGTGGATTTTTAAAATGTGAATTTAGTTGACATGGTTGTCAAGTAAACCATATAAAAGTAATTGCTCATCCATTCGTGATGTGTTTACCCACTAATATGGCAGAGCTAGCGTTCGGCCACTCCATGGCCCCTTTGCCTTATGTTTCATGCTGGCCTTGATAAGCAACTTCTCCCAGCACTACATAGGCACACCCATAACTCCTAAATTTTGATTTATATATTTTTGCAGAAGTAAACTATAAATATAAGCTGTGGACTCAAAATAGGAAACATTAATGTCCCACTTGTTTTGATAGGGATCCTACAGGATGATTCTCTTTATTAAAAAAATATATTGATGACTCCTGAGTTTCAGGTGGGCACACTGCCATGGCTTTGTTTCTCTGATAGTTTCTGGCACATTTTATGTCATTGGCTTAAAGGTCCTGACACAAGCTTCCCGTCAACATTGTGCCATGTGTAAGATTTTGAGGATTAGTATTTTGAGATGATAATCTATTTTGATCCTATTGAATATTGTATACAGGTCTAGCAAGTGGAAATCAACACGTACGCTGAGTGGGGAAATTATAGAGTTATTTTTTATATTAAAAATAGACATAGTATGTAGTAGACAAAAACATGATTTTTTCTCCAGATTTTCCTGAGAACCCCATGTCAGTTGTCATTCTTGAAATCATTCCATAACACAGGAAATGGCTTATCTTTGAGGGGCTATCGATGCTCTTGAGGCCTTGTCTCCTTTTATAAAATGTATCTGCAGCTGTATTTGATACATATAGAAATAGTCAGATCAGTTCTTTGGCATTCTTTGGCTTTTTCTACAGTTATCTTTATTGCTGTGATCTGGCTTTTGCTGGATGACAAATTGCTGTTTACAAATGACTCCGTGCTTGTGGTTTTGTTTATAGTAATATGACGACAGCTTTCTACAGCACTCTTGATTTGTACTTCCAGAATGCAACTTTAGAAAGGTAGGTAGGTAGAATCTTAGCTTCAACTATGACAGTGTAGAGGTTTTTTGAATCTGCTACAGCATGTGTAGAGGCTTTAAACTTTAGGAATGAAAGAGGAATGGTGGCTGAAGCATTCGGTTAGATTACTTCCAGGAAAAAAAAAAAAAAAAAAAAAAAAAGAATGACCACAACCAGCAAATCATCTGTCCATTTATTTGACCATTCTTAAATTTAAAACCAAATTCAAAGTTATTAGAATTCAGAGAAACATTTTGGTATGTTGTTTGTTGGGAATCACCATAATTTGTTTATTTATTTTTTTTTGAGTATCCAAGCTGTGTTTGTTTGTTTTGAGAAATACTCTATGTATGTCGAGGGCTTACTCCAAACGCAAGATCCTCCTGCCTCCATCTTCAGAGCTGGATTCCAGGAGTACTACTCCACTCCTCACATTGTTTTAAGGATACATGGAGAATACTGTCATCAGTAGAAGACAGAGGTTAATAGGGTAACGAGTTCTTTTCCCCACCCCCAACATACCCTATGGCCTGGTTTCCTCTGTAGTGTACCAAGAAAGTCTATTGCAATCTTTGTTTCTGGTCACTTTTCTCTGTCTTCTCAGTAATGTTCCTTTTTGGCTGTGAGTTTTTGCTCCTTGACAGAAGTATTTGGAGCAGATTAGACGGTGATGTCCAGTTTGTGACAGTGTTCTGGCTCTGTATTATTCTTTTCTCATCTTCAAATGTTTTATAATGGGCCTTTTACCTTATCCCAGACTGATTATAGTAATAGACTTTTCAGAGTCTGGCAGGCAGTCAAAAGGGGAGATTCCTGGGAAGAGTCCTGTAGACTGTGCTCTGTTCTCCTCTGCAGATGTTTGCTTTTGGTTTGGGGGAGATAGCTGCCGTTCTACTTTCTGTCACCTTTGTACTCTGTGCAGTCAGGTACATGTAGAGAGGTTCTGGGAAGATGTCTAAGATCTTATGAGCAGGAATGTGCAGGAGCCAGGTACACTATTACTAAGTAATTGATGATGGAAGCCATCTGTATTTGTAGCTGAGAAACACTAGTGTAACTATTTAAAAAGAAAATAAGAACATGTTACCTCACTATGACCTTAATTTGCTTGTGGAAACAAAGTAGGGGCTCTCAAGAAGAGCTCTTTTCAAACTCATTTTACTTATATTTTAATTAGTTGATTAGCTAACTAATTAATTTGCCATCAGTTGATTTGTTTTGTTTGTCTGGCCTACCTTGGAGTATAGTTTAATTGATTTAAGTTCCTTATCATTAAATAGCAGGATTTGGTGGGTAGAGTTTATGTCAGCACTGGCTGTTAGGAAGGGCATTTGCTAGTATAGCTAATACCACAAATGACATAGTTCTGACATGGATGAGTGACTAGCATACAAATTCATGCTGCTAATTATAAATTGGGTTGATGTATTCAGTAATATTTACTTTCAGAATTTCTTAAAAGTGAACATAATACAAATTCAAAGTGCTCAAAACAGTTCGTAAGAGGGTGACATTTAGGGAAACTCTAGTGGTTTTAAATGTTATCAACCTTTAGAAGAGCTAAATA